GAATTACAGGCGCTTGTTATTTGGTGGTAATTTTAGACAGTAGCAGCTAGAACACTTTGTGGATGTTCCAAAAATCACCCACTGTTTGAAAAGCAGAACAAGACACACAGAGAAGATAGAAATTAAGAAAAATCGTCTCCACTCCGTGAAGTTTAAGTGCAGCGCTAATTTAAAATAAAGTCAACTCACCCTGTTGATATTGATCGGGTGGTTCAACTTAGTTGGACATATATGAAAAAACACAAGTAGAGAATATATAGTGCAGGGTTGTTTTAAACCACAAACTGGAGTTATCTACTTAATGGCACACTCACATTTGTATGTTTAATAAGCAACTCCTGCATCTCATTAATCTGTTTATCTAATTTAATCAAAGTCACATTTCTTGTGACTTTGATTAAATTAGATAAACAGATTAATGAGATGCAGGAGTTGCTTATTAAACATACAAAAAGCGAGGAATACCAGAAAATTACTGACGAAATTCAAGATATTCTAAATAGGATTGAAAGAGAGACTATAGAAATTAAAAAGAAAAAATATAAAAGAGACAGATTTGACTTTGATCATAATCAAGTCAGATCCTATCAGAAATCCAAACAGAGAGATATGAGAGAGATATACCCTCAAGAGTCATGGGATAAGTATAATGCAATTCATATAAACGACCTTATAGAGGAAATAGGAATATAGTACCTGAAAGAGAAACAGCCTATTACCATAATACATCTAGAAAAAGGAAACCATCAATGAGAAACAAAAAAGAATATGCTCTGACTCCTCGCCATGAATCAAAACGTATGGAGAATCCAGTAAGGGAAGGGATGGAATATCCATCCACTTCACATCAGGATTCCAGACGATTGGATAGGCCAAAACAAAAAGAAAAAAATCAAAGATCAAAATCCCCCATTTTTCATCACAATATAAACTCTCAAAATCAAGTCATCTCCCACAATAGGTTTAGTGTCCTAAATAGGGAGCCAGAAACTTTTTTTCAAAACGAGAGACCAAAAGACAAACACAAGACTTTTGCCCCCACTTGGAGGAGATCTCCACGCCTCGACTCTCCATACAAAAGAAGGAGGAGTATAGAGGAAGGGGAGTTAGAGGAGGAAAGAGAATTAAGAAAAGCGAAAAGAGACTGGACACATCACAATCATTAATTTTTAATTTGTCCAGTAAGGTTTTAACAGAGGCCCAAAGTTCAGTTCTGAATAAGGGATTAAAATTTGTCCCGACTAAAGAACTAGACAGATTTGAGATGTATGTTGATTTGAACAAATTTAAGAGACAGTTATGTCTGAAAAAATGTTTTGTGAGGAATGATAGACATCTCAATGAAGAGACTATTCAATCTGAGTTCGTACATACAGCACTCAAGGAAAAATCTGTCTTTTTTCCGCATAATTTCATTTCTGATGAAATGATAAGCTTTGAAAAGGCAGTTATGCAGGAAATTAACAATATTAAGACTAAAACCAGTAATAGGAATTTAAACAAAAAAGAGTGGTTAGCTCTGAAGGAATTGCAAAAAGATCAAAACACTGACAGACATACTGGCACATACACTGACAGGCATACTGACACACACACTGACAGACATACTGACACATACACTGAGAGGCATACTGGCACATACACTGACAGGCATACTGACACATACACTGACAGGCATACTGACACACACACTGACAGGCATACTGACATACACACTGACAGGCATACTGACATACACACTGACAGACATACTGACATACACTGACAGACATACTGACACATACACTGACAGGCATACTGGCACATACACTGACAGGCATACTGACATACACGCTGACAGGCATACTGACACACACGCTGACAGGCATACTGACATATACGCTGACACACACACTGACAGACATACTGACACATACACTGAGAGGCATACTGGCACATACACTGACAGGCATACTGACACATACACTGACAGGCATACTGACACACACACTGACAGGCATACTGACACACACACTGACAGGCATACTGACATACACACTGACAGGCATACTGACACACACACTGACAGGCATACTGACATACACACTGACAGGCATACTGACATACACACTGACAGACATACTGACATACACTGACAGACATACTGACACATACACTGACAGGCATACTGGCACACATACTGACACATACACTGAAACATACACTGACAAACATACTGACACACACTGACAGGCATACTGACACACATGCTGACACATACACTGACAGGCATACTGACAAATACACTGAGACATACTGACACACACACTGATAGGGATACTGACACATACACTGACAGGCATACTTACACATACACTGACAGGCATCCTGACATACACACTGACAGGCATACTGACATAGACACTGACAGACATACTGACATACACTGACAGGCATACTGACACACACACTGACAGGCATATTGACACATACACTGAGACATACTGACACACACACTGACAGGCATACTGGCAATTACACTGACAGGCATACTGACACACACACTGACAGGCATACTGACATACACACTGACAGGCATACTGACACACATGCTGACACATACACTGAGACATACTGACACATACACTGAGACATACTGACACACACACACTGACACACATACTGACAGACATACACTGACAGACATACTGACATATACACTGACAGACATACTAACACACACACTGACAGGCATACTGACATACACACTGACAGGCATACTGACACACATGCTGACACATACACTGAGACATACTGACACACACACACACTGACACACATACTGACAGACATACTGACAGACATACTGACAGACATACACTGACAGACATACTGACATATACACTGACAGACATACTGACACACACACTGACAGGCATACTGACACATACACACAAAATTTACACTATTATACCCAGTTTCATACCTTGGAGGGTGGCTGAAGCTGCTGGGAGTTGGGGTCTGGCAAGCTCGGCCCAGACCCCCTCTGCTCTGCCTCTTCCTCCTCCCGCGCGGCTCCTCTCTTTATGGGAGGAAGTGACGCGCAGCCGTCACTTCCTCCCAGCCGGCTGCCAAAAAGCAAGAGGGCCCGGTCGCGCTCTTAAAGCACCAGAGCGCAAGACCGGGCCCCTGCTGACAGAAGCCCATCGGGTGGCCCTTAGTGCATGGGCCACCCGGTGGGCCTCCTTAGTGTGCAGCTGCACTGGCGAGTGGGAGAAATGCTTGAGGCAAGCGGGGCCCACGGTGTAGCTGCTTCGGGCCCCTCAGGAGTAACTGGGCCTGGGGCAGCTGCCCCATTTGCCCCGCGGTAAAGACGGCCCTGTTTGGGTGCCTGGCACTGCCTGCCCCAAAGCAGAGACTGTAATTCAGCCAAGTATCTCTTCACCTCACTGAAGGTCCAGCACTCTGCGGGTCAATCAGCTGCCCTGCTGGACCCTCACTGATTGGACATCTCAAGTCCACTTAGTGTATTCAGGTAACATGGAAAGCCATTTAATGTAAGGATTGATGTATTGCTGTGTTGCAGGTATTTACAAAGAGCAATTTCATCATCAAAAAAAGGGATGAAGGGGAGCACTGTGTACATTTGGATTTAAAGGACCACTATAGTGCCAGGAAAACATACTCGTTTTCCTGGCACTATAGTGCCCTGAGGGTGCCCCCACCCTCAGGGTCCCCCTCCCGCCCGGCTCTGGAAGGGGGAAAGGGGTAAAGACTTACCTTTTTCCAGCGCTGGGCGGAGAGCTATCCTCCTCCGATCCGCCCCGTCGGCTGAATGCGCACGCGCGGCAAGAGCTGCGCGCGCATTCAGCCGGTCACATACAAAAGCATTATCAATGCTTTCCTATGGACGCTGGCGTGCTCTCACTGTGAAAATCACAGTGAGAAGCACGCAAGCGCCTCTAGCAGCTGTCAATGAGAAAGCCGCTAGAGGGAATGGGGGAAAGCTTAACCCATTCATAAACATAGCAGTTTCTCTGAAACTGCTATGTTTATAAAAAAAATGGGTTAACCCTAGCTGGACCTGGCACCCAGACCACTTCATTAAGCTGAAGTGGTCTGGGTGCCTAGAGTGGTCCTTTAAGGTCCAAATGCTGCCAGCTCCATACTCTGCCCAGCTCCCGGTGGCTTGCTCTCTCACTGCTCAGAGCTCCTGGAAGGCTGGCTGTGCTCCTCCTGTGATATCAGAGAACCTCAGGGACAGGTAAGTAGAACTACTTTATTACAGGCTGAAGTGTGGGAGGACTTATTAGGAGGGTTGGCTAGGACTTTGGGACACCAGGGCACGTCAAAGGGCAATATTAACCATTTCAGGGCCAGAGGATTGGGCACCCCCTAGCCCCTGGTATATTAAGAAGTTAACCTATTCTGTATTTAATTACTTGGCAACTATAATATAAATAGTCAGCTCCATTATCTGAGGGCTAAACACTTCCTAGGAGAACAACCTCATAGACTAGTGGTTTGGACCTTGTTTTTGTTTTGTTTATGGTAAGTGTGTGTGTCTATATGTGTAGGAGTGTGTATTTAGTCAACATATTGTAGCCCCATGGAACTTAAGTAGCATAAGTGGAATAGGGCCTTGACAGGGGTTGGAGGCGGGCTTAGGGGGAGAACCGGGTGGGTATGTCTGTTAGCTTGTCTGGGGGAGCGACCTAGATAAATAGGCCGGCCATTTTAGCTCCTGTCACCATTAACGTCCTTAACAGTTTGGAGCTGGTCCCTCCCTCCCTCCCTCCCTTAGGTTGTTTTGCCCTGCTTGGTCACAGCGGCGGGGTAGTTAGGGGGATATTTAGGTATAATAGTCACGGGGGAGGGGGGGACCACAGAGAAATTAAGGATGTTGTGGGCCGAGTGGTTCCAGTTGGTTGGTGACAAAGTTGGTTATAAAGTTGGTTATAATGTTGGTTAAGTTAGGGGTACGAACCCCGGCGGTGGCTTTGAACCTTGGTGGGGTAGGGGTGTCTGGGTATACCCCTACCAGGAGGCAATTCCAGGTCATGGAATTTGGGTGGGGTAAGGGTATCTGGGTATGCTCTTACCAGGAGTTAATTTGCGGTAGGGGTGTCTGGGTATACCCCAACCAGGAGGCATGGAATTATGTAAATATGTTTGGTATATATATATATATTATGTTATTTGGTTATGTAAGTGTTTATGGTTACATTATAATAAGCATATATTACATACAGGTCATTGCCTTATTATTATTACTGTTATTATTATTGGTGATTTAATGGATATGGATGTTGAGGAATGGTTGGGTGGGTGCGGGGCAATGACTTTAAAGGACCACTATAGTGCCAGGAAAACATACTTGTTTTCCTGGCACTATAGTGCCCTGAGGGTGCCCCCACCCTCAGGGTCCCCCTCCCGCCAGGCTGGATGGAGAGGAAGGGGTTAAACTTACCTCTTTCTCCAGCGCCGGGCAGGGAGCTCTCCTCCTCCTCTCCTCCCTCTTCTCCTCCTCTTCGGCTGAATGCGCATGCGGGGCAGGAGCCGCGCGCGCATTCAGCCAGTCCATAGGAAAGCATTCACAATGCTTTCCTATGGATGCTGGCGTCTTCTCACTGTGATTTTCACAGTGAGAAATGCAGAAGCGCCACTAGCGGCTGTCAATGAGACAGCCATTAGAGGCTGGATTAAACCTAACATAAACATAGCAGTTTCTCTGAAACTGCTATGTTTATAGAAAAAAGGGTTAACCCTAGATGGACCAGGCACCCGGGCCACCTCATTAAGCTGAAGTGGTCTGGGTGCCTATAGTGGTTCTTTAAAATGTTAATACATGCACTATGTTTAATAAAGCTGTGGACATATTGACCCATACCCCTGAGTAGTTTGGAATTATTTTGGGGATTAAGGGAAATGGGAATTGTAAGTGTTTTAAGGGTTAACTATCTCCCCCTCCCAGATGACGACATACACCGGTCATGTATATGTGTATAAGTCTGGGTATATGTGGTGTGTGCATCTCTGAGTATGTGTAACAGTTTGCATATATATATATATATATATATATATATAAATAGAACAAATTGAGAACACTCATTGGATTTAGTAAACAAAAAAAATATTAAATCAAACGCATATAAATCAACATTTCGACCGTCTAGCGGTCTTTATCAAGATGCTATGACATGTGAAAATCTCAAATATATACAATCTAATGTATTAAACTTACCCAATCACCAAGTGCACCCTGTTTGTCCGGTCTGCTCTGTGAATAGAGCCGCAAACCGAGGACTGTCAAACATACTGCCGAAAAGTGACATAAAGCACAGCCACCAAGTGTTGTCTAGAAACGGCAAAGTTGTTTTAAAAGAGAAAAAAATCGGAGTAAAATTAAAAGCATATATGGAGGCGCCCAAGGGAGCTGAAGAGGAAGCACTCAGGGGAGAGTGCTACCTCGCGCGCCGGCCATCCAGACAGCCCGCCCGCCCGCCCAGCAGCACCACTGGACCCCAGAGAATCCCCTCAGCTCTCCAAAAGGTAAGGAGACTCCGGGGATTCAATTAAAAAAAAATGTGTGTGTTAGTGTGTTTGTGTGTGTGTTAGTGTGTGTGTCTGCTAGTGAGTGTCAGTGAGTGTGTTACTGTGTGTGTCTGTTACTGAGTGTGTTTGATGTCTGTTAGTGAGTGTGTGTTTGTCAGTGAAAGTGTGTGTTTTGTAAGTGAGTGTGTATGTATGTCTGTCACTGAGTGTGTGTCTGTCAGTAAATGTGTGTGTCTGTTAGCTAGTGTGTATGCGTCTGTTCGTGAGAGTGTGTGTCTTCAGCATTTACCTTTCTCCAGCGCCTGACATTTGCACAGTCGTTATTCGGCATGTGCTACTTTACCCTTAAATAAGACTCGGACACCGTTAATTCTGTTGGAGTACAAAGTCCACAGCTTTATTAATTAATTATAATAAATAACATAATTTAGGGTCATTGTCCTACTAAACATTATATTACTATACCCCCACACAGTCCCCCTGACAATGACCCTACCAATTGAACAATAAATAACAATCAAATAACATATAACTTGAAATACACGGCCTACCAAAGAGGCCCCATATCATCCGGTTAACTGTAGGGGTATACCTCAGACACCCCTACACCCCCCAGGTTCGTAGCCACCGAAGAGCTAGAACCAACCAATCCTTAACTCCATCCGGCCTAAACCTTGGCCTGTCCAGTTCAAATTCCACGCCAAATTCCAATATTTACAACGCCCTGTTCCGCCACAGCACATGGCTTGACCTCCTTAAGCACATGTGCGACCCCCACTACACAAAAACAGGGCCCGTGCTACTCCGTCTTGAAAACCCAGGTTTCGTAAATCATTCCCCACTTCCGATAGGTGTATGCCGTCCCTCCTATAATAACCCGGCAACATACCCTCTAACTCCCTGTGCCGCACCACTACGCCCCCTGAGCGTCTAATAAAAACCGCCATAATCTTGTTGACCTTACCCCTAGATCGGGCTATTGCAGCTGGGTCCCTGGCGTGCTTCCACGTAAAACGAGGCACCATCTCAGACCAAACAACAACCACGCCAGGGACCAGCTCCCTCAGCCGATCCATGACCCTCTTCATCTTCCGAACCAGCTCTCTTTGGGGGATCAAACCCAAGTCATTCCCCCCTCCGTGAACCAATACCACATCTGGGACCGCCCCCCCAGCCAACTTCCTAAATAATGTGCTGCAGAGACCCTGCCAACTAGCGCCCCGCAAACCAAGCCAAGATAACTCCACTCGCTCCAAAGGAAAGCCCAGCTGCGATCCACATCTTCTAACTGCGGCTCTCTTCTGTGCCCAGTACACATACGAGTGTCCCATCAACCAAACTTTAAAACCTGAAAAGAGACAAAATTAGTTGCAAAACAAGACAACTTCCCCGTGCACCAAGTTCCTACGCAACGCATACTCACACCAGCCTGTCAGGCCTCACATACGTACGGAACCACATGGATTCCCACCTCCCGATCCGTTTGATCCTCTCGTCCCCCAAGCCCAAACGTGCTGCCTCAGTTGCCGCGCCTATGCGGAACGAGTGTGTCCCAAATTGCTTGGGCTCTAGGCCCAGTCTCTGTAAACCCAAGCGAAAAACCCGTAGAAACTGTAAACGAGACAAAGCCGTGCCATCGGCATGCAGGAAAAAACAACCGGTCATCCCAGGGCGGACTTCCAAGTACCGCGCGCCGCAAGCCACCGGGCATGCCCTTGAACCTGGTAACTCATACAACACTACCGAGCACCCTTTGCCGAACACGTCCGTTTTCGAACGGCGCAGCCTGATCTGCACCCTGTCGTTGCATACGTCCACGTCCCCGAGCAGCAAACCGCCAACCCCCTTCTTATTGGCGCTAACCAGTTCCCCAATCCGAAAAGCTCCAAAAAACGCCCATACAAATGCTCCCGAAAATAGCGCCACCTCAAAAGGAGAATGACATACCCCATCCAACGTCTCCAATAGCCCCTGTAACACCGAAAACGACACTGGTCTTCTCGTGTCTCCAAACTTCTTACCCTTCCGGAAACCACGTATCGCCTGTCGTATCACGAAATTCTTTGTGAGATCGTCCCACCCATTGAACTTGAACAAAAAGGCCATGGCAGACATGTACCTGTCCACCATGGCCGGTGAAGCCTGCCTCGAGAACAAGCGACACAGCATCCAAAGAAGCACATCCACCCTCTGACCTGCCGAAAAAACGCCTCCTACCTGTTGTACTGCCTCCTCCCATTCCTTCCACACCTTAACGTAAGACGACCAAGTGCTCGGCGCTAACGAATTCCTTATATACTCCCCAAGCATGACGTCCCGAGCCGCCACATCTCGTCTGGGCAAGCCTGCCCCCTCTCCTGAGCTTCCGGCGCCGCTTCCCGGAATCGTTCCCACTGAAAATGAGAAAGCGCGTCAGCCACTACGTTACACAACCCAGGGATGTGCTTAGCCCTAAATACCAAGTTGAAGGACATGCAGAGAAGTACAAACCGTCGCAACAAACATAAAACCGGGGGGGATGATGCAGACAAGCTGTTGATCGCCTGCACCACCGCCATATTATCTGAATGGAACACAATTTGCCTGTTC